GAGAGAGTACCCATAGATTTATAATTTTACAGCTAGGAGAAACTACTCATGAATTGTTTTCCCCATAACATAGAAACTCTGTTTCAAATAAATTTTTACACACAATAGAGTGATTCTAGAGAAACTCCTATTTTTTTAGACCTTATCTTAAACTTCCTTGAGAGCAGCCAGGAACATTTTTATGTAATTTATTTTTAGCATTAAGCATGGCAGAAAACTAGGTTCAAAGTGGTCTCTACAATGTTCTTGAAGCTAGAGAGTTCTAGGAACTTCACAAGATCCTTAAAAATTTAGAATTGTCAAATCCAGGAGAACACTCGATCCCAAGCTGGCACTGTTTCTAGGATAAAAGACTTTGGGAGTTAAGTGGGTGGAAGGCAAGGAAGAGAGAGAGAGAATCTGTGGACTATCTAAGTTCCTCAGATATTTAATTTTTTTTTAATTGAAGAGCATTTTTCTCCAATATAATTCACCTTCTAAGGTGGCTTTGGGGTCCCTTCAGTTACTGAGGCCTCTGTAGACTGAAATAGATCATAGAACATATCAAATTTTTATGAAGGTTTTCAGTAGGCTGACATAGGTACAGGAAAGATGAAAGTATCAATTATATTATATATAAAATTGTGTAGAAATATATATATATAATTCTATAGTATATAATTTCATAACTACCTCATTCTTATTCACTATGGACTTGATTGGTCAGGGCACCCAGAGATTGTGGTGCCCCCTGGTGGTCATTGAATTATCACAGATCTTGACAACCTAAAAATCCACTAGGTCTGAAGAGCTAAAACATCTCTTTTTGAGAGCGATCAGAAACCATGAAAGCATATACAAGTAATTTGTATAATTTAAACTAGTTCTTCTTATGGGTACTGGCAATTTATCAAAAAAAAAAAAGTAATGTAAAGGTAGCACTTTGCACACAAAATCAATTGTAAAAAAAATAATTCTGAAGAGTATTGAATGTGTGCTAAAAGATTTTGAATAGAATGTGCAACATTTTCTGCTATAGTAGTTTTTTTTAATATTAGAAAAAAAATATTTTACTTATCAATTTTGAATATTTTAAGTAATTAGAAAATTTCAGGTTGATAAATTAGCAATATTCAATTGGACTCCTGTAATTTTGATATAAATTGTATTTTTATTTGTTAAGCTGTTTTATGTTAAGTGTAGTTAAAGAATTATAATTGTAATCTTTGAAACATTACAGTCTATCTGACCTCTGCCTTTTTTTATCCAGCTCCATCTAAGTTTAGAAGAATAAATTAAATTACTACTTTTAAAAAATGAACTTAGCTTATATATACTTTTTACATTGACTGCAAATAAATAGTTTACATACACTATATAAATCATACCAATGTAAATATGTAAGTGATTTTTCTGCACAGTAGAAAGATTGTTTACATTTTGGCTGAAATCACAAATATAGAACCCAATTTTCTCTTCACTGAGACATCCATTTCTTCTCTGTTTATAATCAGTTTCTTCTGCATGGTACCTTTCCAATTCCCCCCTTTTCTGTGATGAACTTCTATTTTCACATTCACCAGCTGTGAATGCATTTAGACAGTAAATGCAAAAGTAGTAGGTTCAGAAACAGCCCTTTGATTTCATTGTTGCTGTTGTTAACTATTATACTTTGGCACCCTAGATTTGTAACATACTAAAGTCTCAGGCTGTTCCCTACTCTCTAAAATGCTACTTTCTATACCCAGCACACACACACACACACACACACACACACACACAGGATTTTATTTGAAAATTCATGGAACTTATTTCCTGAAGTCTTTATAGTTTACTACTCAGTAAGATTCTCTCTCTTAAAATCACAGAATGTCTCCCAGGGAAACACAGTGAGATAAATGTTAGTATTGAAGCAAATTAAAAGAAAATAACTTCCGTACTCTCATTTGATAGGTCCTGAATTTATACATTTATTTTTATATATGTACAGCTATTGTGATTATTAGTAATTACATAAAAATAATATGGTACATAAAAATTGGGTAATTATCTTTGAATCTGAAAGTAGGCATTTTTAATCTTTCTACTATAAATTTATGATTGATATTTCAAAGGAGAAGATATAAATGGAAATATTAAGGTTTCAATCTTCTTTTTCCATTTATTTAAAATTAGCTAAATATATGTAGGTTACTCTCCACCAATTGCAATGTACAATGAATATATAAAAATTAAGAAATAGTTTTCAAAATCTCTGCTTTAGCTCACTTCTGTTAGCTGTACACACCATTCCGTGTTGCTCAGAAAAATGACTTGTCTAACTTTTATTTTATACACACACACACACACACACACACACACACACACACTTTCAGTATGCCTTACAATTTGCTTTAGAGATAATTTGCAAAAGTCATAAATTTGAAGCTAAAATAAACCACTTTAAATGTAATATAAAGTAAGTATTCAATGTTATTTTAAAATATGAAAGTTTTATAAACTGATATTTTTTATTTCAATGTCTTCATGTACAAATAGGTTTATTTGCTTTGCTGCTAGTCAAGTACAGTCTAATACTAATTTATATACTAAAATATATGGTGTATAATACTGTTTAATGAACATTCTCCTCCTGACTAAATCATTCACTTTTATTTAAATGCCATGACATCTTTATCAATATGTCTAGAGGAAAAAGAAGAAAAAGGAGGAGGAAGAGGAGGGAAGGGGAGGAGGGGGGGGAGGAGGAGGAGGAGGAGGAGGAGGAGAAAGGAACAAGAAGAGAGGGTAAACTAAAAATGAGTATCACTGTGCAACTCTGCAGAGAAAACTGTCAGCAGCCAGGCACATGTGCATTTAATGTCTCTAAAAATAAAAGCAAGCCCCCCATGTCTGACACAGAGAGGGGACACAAGAAGGCAGCTCCCTATACCACCTACACTCATCAGAGAGAAGGATGTTCCTTCTTTGGTTTCCTGGCTTAATGCAAAGGTATTTGTATTCACATCACTGAGTATTAGTCATTCAATAGATGAAAGGACTATTTTAAACTTTAAAGGCTACCCTGGTGTCATTTTAAGAAGTGGGGATGAGGCCCTGGGGGAAGCGTTGAAATCCTGGAGAATTATTTTAACTATTACTAGTAGTTTAATATTTTTGAGTTTGTGGTTTTGAGATTAATAGTTTTATAGCCTAGGTGTGGGGATTTATGTTTTTAATTCTAATGTTTTACATTACACTTTTTACTCTTAAAGCATCTGTTTGTGTAAATACCACTTGATCTTCTCTGTAACAAGTGTACTCTACATTTTTTTTCTCTCTCTCTCTTTCTCTTTTTGTCTCTTTTCAAAGTTAACCTACCAAGCAGTTTATATTTTTTCCTTGTGTCCCTTAAAAGACACCAGAGATGCTTTTACATATAATTTCTAAAATATTTAATAGGCATAATGTTTAGGAAAAAGTAATGTTTAAGGAAAAAATCCTACAGACCAAAGAGAAGTTAGAGCTGAAGGAAGTGTCATTTCTATATTTTCATAATTGCATTAGGCAAAAGTAAAAGCTGTAGGAGAGAACTTACCATAAAATAAAAATAAAAAATCTGGGATCTGCCATCTCTGAGCACTCTGTTAAAAATAGCAGAAATAACTCCATTTACTTTATATTTCCAGATAGAAAGACAGGAAAAGTTTGGAGTCTTAGGTGAGATCAAACTTTTTGCCTATCACAAATAAAGATAAATCATGAATGTCAGATTTTCTTTTAAAAGGAAGAGAAACAGGACACGAAGAAAACGAAGCTCATCTTAAATGTGTGATGATCAGGTTACGTTAAGTGACCTTTGAAATGGATGATTTGACAATTAATGTTTTAAAGTTCTTCCTCCTTACATTACTCACCTCTTGAATTGCAAAGAGTCCAAACTGCCTAAGGGTAAACCGATTTCTCTCTACACAGCCTTCCGGGACATTTTGGTTTGGATAAATTCAACTGGAGATGTTGGTTACATTTCTTATTCTGTTTCCCTTTGAGAGATAATTATGGAATAATCATAGGAAAGCAGTTGCTATTTGCAGAAGACGTTTTACTTAATGAATTTGATGAGCGGCAGCATTCTAGCATTCTTTAAAATGCAATGTAATTTTTTTGCAGCGAAATGGGAAACCGTCAAAAAGAGGAAATCCAAAGGAAACCTCCGAAAATTATACACATGTACAGAAAAATGATACGGAACCATGTGAAGGTCCTCGCTTCATGTCTTACTTCACCCAACTAACTATTGTGAAAAGGTTGGGCGGGATGAGAGGGACCCATGAAACAAAAGACTTCCTTTCTATGCTCCCTTTCCCTCTGTGTCTCAGGCCAGAGTTTGTTGCAAACTCTTGGAAACACTGTTTGCACAGAATAATACATGTGGTTACTTTTATTCTTCCGGAGCCTGTGCTGGGTGGTGCCTAGAGCTGACCGCTGCAACAACAACAACAAAAAAGAGAAGTAGAAACCTTTCAAGAAAGGAAAAGAACAAAGTTATCCGACCCTCGCGGAGGAGGTTGTAACAACAACAAAAAAGTAAAAAGCACTTTACTTAAAGGCACAGCTCCTTTTGCTGTCCTGGCTGAGCGCTCCGTAGCTGACACATGGCTCGCATTGCCCCCGGCTTCTACCAGATGCAGAGGAGTAAAATGCAATACAGGGGGCCGTGCATTGGGAGCGTTATTCTCGGAAAGATTCGGCTCCGGGGAAGCTGCGGTCGCTACAAACCCAGAGGCCAAGGCTGCACGCCCCTCGGCTGCCATCCACGTCCTTGGCTGCAGAGCATCCAGCGCCAGGCGGGGAGCCCAGAACCTGGAGGGAATCCTGGACCCGCAACCCGACTCCGCTCCCCGCTGATTGGCCCGCTTCCCGAGCCCCGCCCCCGCGGCCGGGGCGGCCTTTGCGCGGGGCCCCGCCCCCCGGGCCTGGGAATCGCAGCCTGGTTGGCCGGCTGCGCCTGCCACTCAGCCCGGGCGCCGAGGCTCTGCGCTCGGAGCCCCGCCCCCGCCCCCCTAATTGATATTATTGGAGTGTGGAGCGGGCGGCGGGTCTGCAGTCGGAGACTTGCAGGCAGTGGAAACGGTGCGAGCGATCAGGAGGGGGACGTTTCTTTTTTTAAAAAAAAAGCTTAAACGTGGAGCCGGAGCCGTCACCTGGAGATCGAGAAGGGGAATCGATGCAAGAAGAGCAATAAAAAGGAAAAAAAAGAAAGAAGAAAAGCAAAGAACCCACTCGGAGCAAACAGCGTTTCAAAAGCTGCGACTCCACCGAAAGCTGACATAAAACCTGCTCGTGCACCATGGTTTTGCAAACTCGGAGCCCTTCGTGGATTATCGTATGCTCCATCTGGCTGCTCCGCTTTGCACACACCGGGGAGGCGCAAGCTGTAAAGGAAGGTAAGGTGATGGGAAAAGCAAAGTTTGTTCTGACTTATTTATTTAGCTGGCTACCTGCGCCAGCCGGCTGGTCCGGGGGGGCTGCCGGCCGCGCCTCCGGAGCCTGGCGACCACCCCCCCCGCTGGCTCCCCGCCCCCTCGCCGTCCCGGCTGCCGCGGTGGCCGGGGGCGCCGGGGGCGCTGCTCCCAGCCTCCCGCTGCCCCGGGTCCCGGGCTGTCGGCCCGGCCGGAGCGGGGCTTCTCGCGGGCGGGCAGCCCGGAGGGCGTGAGCAACCACGGAGGTCGGCGGGATGGGGTTTGGCAGACGGATGGTCGGCGTGATCCTTCTCCAAGACCCGGAGCGGGTCAGATCTCTTCCTCCAGCCCTCTCCCCTTCCTCCTCTCGGTGCTGGCCCCCGGTGGGTGAGCCTGGGGCCGGAGTTGGGGGTGGTGGTGGTGGGGGGGGCTGGAGAATGCAGCCTTCGGGGTCCCGGGCAGCCCGCCAGCGCGCGGCCGGAGTCCGGAGGAGTCTTCCCGGAGGGACGGTGCCGGGTGCGAGCTCGGAGGGCTCGAGTTACTAATGAAGAGCTCACTGCACCGGAGAAGGAGAAGGAGGAGGAGGAGGAGGAGGAGGAGGAGGAGGAGGAGGAGGAGGAGGAGGAGGAGGAGGCGGCGGCGGCGGCAGCGCGGGCCTGCGGCGGGCGCTCGGCCGCCTGCACGGAACAATACCGCCGCCCGCGGAGGTGCCGCCAGCCCGGGGCGCGCTCCCCCGGCCGCGGGTCTCCATCCGGCGCGGCTCCGGCCGGTCCCGGGAGGCCGGAGCCCCGATGTGTCAGCCAGGCCGGGGGGCTCGTGCGCCTGATAATGTGCTGCTGCCGCCGACGAGGCCACCGAAAGTCCTCAAACATCTGCCCCAACTCCGGCAGCTCAGTCCGAGGGGTCTGTCCGAGCGGGAGACCTGGACCACGAGGGCTGGCTGTGGATTGAGAGAGCAGGCTTCCTTGGGGCACCAGACACGCTTGTATGCGTTGTTATTTATTTATTATTTTTTTCTTTCTTTCTTCTTTTCCTTTGAGCCACTGACAGAGGTAAAATACCTTTCGGTGCCTGTAGTTGGAGCTGGGGGAAATGGATCCTGTCAATGGGAATGCCTGGCTCCAAGCATTGCCCCTGTGTAGCCCCCGCCGCCCCCCGCCCCCGCCCCCGGGTCTTCTGGGCTGGAAGTCTAAGGTTGATTTTTACTGACTTGGAAAAGCAGGATGCTAATAATTCCTTGTTTCTGAATTGTGTGGAGAATGGAGGACTCTGACATCAGATTGAGGTCGTGGTGGTGGAGATGGTGGGGGCTACATATTGGTTCTGGGTTCATCTATCATTGGGAAAAAAAAACTTGATTTAGTGCTGGCCATCTCCCCTCTTCCCCCCGCTCCCCCCTTCTCTTCGCGCACCCCTCTTCGTCCATTCAAACCCACATCGTGTCCTACTTCTTAATCCAGCCTGACCTTCTGACCCCAGTCTCCACATCTGCAGCCTGTGTGCACTCTGAGCCCATTCAGAGGAATGTTGAGAAAACCTTGGACTCCTCCGAAGGGTCTGTTACACGTTTGCAGCTGCACTGACACCTACTAGAAAGATACACGCGGGCACACCCTCACCCGCATCTCCACTCCCGCGGTGTTAGCGGTTAGGAGCATCCACACGCGGAAACCTGTCCCGATTCCCCCGGAATGGCTGGAGCCGCGGAAAAGTTTGCTCCGCGGAGCCCGGGGCGGGAGCCGGCCGCCCGGCGGGCGTGCGCGCCATAAAGAAGCGCATCACTCGGGGGACAGGTTCCCCGGCCGGACCGCGCGCTCGCTCGCTCGCTCGCTCGCTCGCCTTCCTCTTCTGGGCGCAGGATGCGAGTGAAGGATTCTGATTCCAGCAGGCTGAATTGTTTAAAAGCAGAAGTGACATATTTAAAAGGTGGGCGGGGTGGCCGCGGAGCCCGGCTTCTCGGCGGCGGCGGCGGCGCTCGGAGCGCGCGGCGGCGATCGGAGCTGAGACCCGAGCTCTGCAGCCCCAAGGCCGGGCCGGGGCGCTCGCTGGCGGCGCCGGGAAAGCGGTGCGCGGCCTCCCGGGCGGGCGGGGAGGCTGGAAGAAGATGATGGATCTTCTCCCCCCACCCTCTCCCTCACCCCTCGCCCCCTTCCTCCGCTCTTCCCCCACACTTTCTCTCGGGGCGATAGGTTCCCGCTCCTGCGAGCGCGGGTGTCAGAGCCTGACGGCGGGAGGGGAAGGGCGGCCGCTGAGTCTCCTCTGCGTGGAAGCTGTCGCCGCCGCTCATCCTCCGGGAGACGCTTCCCGAAAGCCCTTCTCCCCCGCCGGCTCCGGCAGGAGCGCGGGCGCCGCCGGCTCCCCGGAGCCCAGGGCTGGCGGGGAGTGATGGATGCTCCGCGCCGCGGGCGCGCCCGGCTGCCAGCCCCGCCCCGCCCCCGGCGGCCCCGCCCTGGCCCCGCCGCCCGCGCTGCCCGCCTGGACCCCCCTCCCCTCCCGCAGCCTCCGCCAGGGCGCGCCCGCCCCGCGTCCCCGCCGCCCCGGCCCCGCCGCCCCGGTGTGGCTCCGCGCCCGTCCCGAGCGCCCGGTCCCGGCCAGCGCTGGGCTGCCCCCCGCGGGCTCCGAGGGAGACGCTGGCGCCGGGAGCCGGGAGGCTGCAGCGCGCACTGGCGGGCGCATCCGGAGGGCGGGTGGCGGGGAAGCTGATGTCAGGGAGGGAGACCCTCTGATCCCTTTAGAGCTGCTTCTCATTCAACGCGCAAGGGCCAATTTCTGTTTGTTGCTGTTGACTTCTCAACCTGTTTGCCATCCTCACCCCAGCCCACCCCAGTCTGTGTGGAGGGGTAACGGGATGACAGTCCACAGTCCACGATGCCTATTTTGCTCCCAAAAATGACCCAGGAAGGTCACCTGGGTTTAAAATGCAATTGTCTCTTGTCAATACAAAAGACAAAAAAATAATAAAAAGAAGATAAATTATCTCAAAAGAAGTGTGCGTGGCACCTACGTTGTTTGCTTCAGCTTTGTCTCCATTGTTGAGGACAAGCACAGAATAAATTTACTTCATAGAGATTCACTGATACAACGATTTTTTTTTTTAATGTTCAAAGTGTAAAGTATAACTTGTATTTTAAAAGTGTGTTGTTTCCCCTCCTCATTTGGAAGAGAGTCAAGTGTTTGTGACCAAAGTTTGTGCTGTCATGGTCTCCCGGATAGTCTCAAGTGCAAGACATTTTTGAAAACAAGTGTCTCTGTATCTAACTATATCTGCTTCTTTCAGTTTCAGAGAATAACCTTGACTAGCATGACGGAATTGAACACATAATCAGTGTGGTCTATTTTCCAAGCATAACACATTTTCATTTCCTTTAAAATACATTTTTTCCCTCTAGTGATTATTTAAAAGTTCATATAACCATGTATTTTATGAAAGTCCAGATTTTAACATTTTGTTGAGGTTGGATGTTAACCATATTTGCACATGCAAAAATACATTCACTGTTATTTGTGGACAAATTGATATACTTGTTAAAATACTCTAGAGTCAAAATACTTTTAAAGAGAAAAACTCTGGTAACAAACCAGTTTGAACAAATAGTGAATGCTTTAGGAGGGCACTTGTCTTAAAAAGCAATGCAATTTATAAAATTTGAAGTATGATATATGACATTTGAATATCTTATATTAGTAATATCAGGAGCAATCATTACATTTATAATAATTTAATTTAATTATGTTTTTTGATAGCATAAAAGTGGAATACAACTTTTAAAAAGAAAATCAGAAAATAGTCAAGTCAGAGTTCAAATATACCATTTTTGAGAATTAGCTAATGCTTTGAAACCTTTGGCAATTAAAAAAAATAGAAATATTGAAAACAGATGTTTAACTCAAAGTATACCTTGCAAATAATAGTTTATTTTTCTAAAATAACATTTCTTAATACATATTTTAGTCATATTCCTCTTGTATATGTGGGTGGAAGACACTGCGTGTGAAGAGTTTTAATAAGCTGCAATTCTCAAAAAGTGCTAGGAAATACTGATGGCAAAATATAAATTAATGGTAGCCTTAAGCGTAATGTAGAATTACACTTTATTACATTCAGGTTATCATGCTTCACAAGATTTGGAAGGCTCAATGGTTTACAAACTCTTTATAATATGTAATTTCTAGAAAAACAATACATCACATAGCAATTTTTACTCCCCCCTTTTTTTTGCTTTTGAGTTAAGTTTATTTTATTCAAAAATACAAAATATAAGATGGTATTTCAATGCATTTTCTCCCACACTGGAGTAATATACTTGTATCAGGTAGGTAGGTATTCATTTCACTATTTATTTAAATAAATAACTGTTTATATATCTTAAGTCATAAAGTGATAATTAGATAAAATTAGATTCACATTACTAACTTACGAATGTGTTGAAGTTTTTCTTGTAACGTTTGGAAATAAAACTTTCTTTTTCAGTACTACTGCTGGATTCTAAAGCACAACAAACAGAATTGGAATGGATTTCCTCTCCACCAAATGGGGTAAGTGCTTCTCAAAAAATACCACCCTTCATTTTTAAAGTGAGACTCAAGACCTTTGCTCTCTCTCCATAGTGGAGTTATTCACATTCTTTAAATTTAAACTATTTCCATTCCAGATATCACATTCAATATTTTGTTGTGTTTATCATGAGACATTTAATTTTTTAAGAAGAGAAGAAGGCATACTTCGGGACATAGATTTAAAAAACACTCTATAATATTTCCAGTTCTTATTGTGAGTGGTATCATACCTCAGGTTCCAGGCTATAAATGCTAACTAATTACAGGGAACAATCCTTTCACAAACTCATTTAAACCACTCTAGTTACTTTATACTTAGTATAATAGCCAGGTAGGTAATGTATAGTTCTTTAGAATAGTATGCAATCTGTTTTTTCCTCTTTTAAAAACAGTTTTAGCATCATTCAAAAGATACTTTAAAAGGCAGCCAAAAATGTAATCTGCTCAATATTTTAGCATATAGTTTGCTAGGAGATATTATTTGGATTTTCCAAGTTTATATCATGTCTATCTGTTGTAACTAATCAGAAGTGATGGCAGAGCATGCACATACTACAGTGAAAATCTGTTACAATAAGTACGAGTGAAAGCAGCTAAACAGAAATCTAGGAAAACATATGTAACCTTTCACGCCCAATTTTTGACCATTATGGTCTATGTATCAGGAAAAAATCTATTATTTTCTTAAATTTAGTTCAATGTCTTTGTTCTTCAGTTTTTTAATTGGGAGAGAGATCACATACTTCATCCCCTATTAAAGAAGAAGGCTTCATGAAAGGAAAGTATACCCTATTGTTATTGTACTTCAGTTAATCTTTGACATGAAATCAAAGAGCATGAAGTGAGGATAGAAAAAGTGTAACAACATTTTGCAAAGAGAAGAACAGAAGTCCGAGAGGTTTTTTTTATAAGAACATCATAAGATCAATGTCATGAAGTGGAAGTCAGTTTAAGAATGCAAAATGTGAATGATGAAAATAAGTTTAAATATTCGGAGAGATTGCTCGATATCATACTGTAGTTTTCTGTATTGGGCAAAATAAATTATACAAAGTGACAAATGTTTTACAAATTAAGTTAAAAAAATTATGTGAAGTTTGAGGTGCAGTACTTTTCTTGCAAGTATAGGTTTTCCATGAGTGAAATAATATGTATTATAGGAAGACATTCACAATAAAAAAATGAAACACCTTTCTTGCCAACGACAGATGTAGCCTATTTTCTGCCATCCATCAATTAAAACAAATAGAGATAGTGGGTATTGTTTTTTTTTTTTATCTCTAAGAAGAAGTAAACTGATATATGATTGTAGTATTTCATCCATGTAATCCATGACATGATAAATTATGACTGTCCATGTTATCTCGGACTCAAATGCGCATTCTGTCAGTTCAAAATATCTGAGTAACTTTTAGCCCTACATATCGAAGGATTAAACAGATAATATTGGAAAATGAAGATTGATAGTATTTTTTTTTGTATATGAAATGGGTTAGCTTACATGTAATTAAATATCTAACTGGAAATAAATTGTTATTAAGACAAGCTTCTAGAAAATATTTCTATAAGCAAACCATAAAAGCACATTATCTGAATTAAGACTTCTTTCCCAAAAGTGTCATTTATAGAAATCACTGCAGTTTATCAGAAAGTGAGATTAAAAAAAAAAAGAAAAGAAAAGACAAGAGTTGTGTTAAATGCATTTACATCATGTCACTATTTGTTATCTATAGATAGTTGTTTTGAAAATTTCCCATTAGGAACAAATTTTTAAATAAAAATGAAAATAAACTGAGATTCATAGTTTAGTAAAACTGATTTTTCATAGCTAGAACAAAATAATATAATTTTTCTTAAATTAAGAAAGAGCAGCTTGTAAGATTTATTCCTTTTAATAATTAGCTTTGGTTTCTTCAAACTGGGAAATTATTAAAAACAGCACATTTATCTTTGGAGTTTTTTGGTATTGTAGTAAATACCATTACCAGCTTTACTTCTTTTACTAATTCAGCCTAATGTAGAGACAAAAACCTACCTGTCTCAATGAAGGAACTTGGGTTTATGGATATATTTGGCTGTCATTCACACTATAAGCAATGGATGGAAGCACAGGGGAAATATGCACACCACTAACTACTCATAAACGGGAGTTGTGTTGATATGGGTGGGATCTTTGCTGTAGTGGAGGACCTTAGGTGATTTGTATAATAAAATTGTAGCCATTATATAACATCACACAAGAAATTGCTGAATTACAGTTAATTGCTAATTTGTGAGTTTCATTAGTTTCCTAAGAAACATTCTAAAAGTAGATATTAAGGCTTATAGAGCATTTAAATAAATTGATTCTAGATAAAATTTTACAGATAAAACTCACTAGCACATGCTTATTAGTTTATTTCCCACCTGCTTTTCTTGAAACTATGGTTTAAATATTGCATGGTATTTGACTGAACTTTAATACAAATATGTTTTTATATTTGCCATTTCACATTGGTGAAATGAATAGAAGTAGATGACAATTTCACTAATAAGACAGCATAATATGAAGTGGGTATTTTGTAATGATGATAAGAAAGGACATAAGTGTTATTTCAGACATTTGGGGCTATTTTAGGTGAAATTACTTTAATTGTTAATATCGATATAGATGATATTATTCATGGTTTAATAATCTTTAAATTATTTTCAATTCTGCTAAACTTATTATTTTTCTTTTTTGTGCAAATACATATAACATGAGATTGCAATAGCATGCATTGTATCAGCATATGAACAAGCATTTTGAAACATTTGCTATTTTTTCGGTCAGAAAGCTTATTACTGAAATATGATTCAGGATCCTGCTTTGCCATGTACATTTGATTTTCTACTGAAAGCAATTTATTTACAAAGATGAATCATACTTTTATACAAGTACTTTTTATAGTTATGTGGATTTGTGTACAATATTATTAATAACACTGCAATAAATAAGTAGCTCTGTAAAATGATACTCTCTTATGCCTCAGTTTGAAAAGGTTGTAAAAGAGTCCGTATTATGAATATCAACATATTGACATCTGAATGCTCAGGGTAGGAATCTACTTCTCTCCAAGAAACACATCTGTGCTAAAAGATTCCTCATGCACTCTCCAAATCAAAATGTTATTCTTATCATTGTTATTTTTGCCGATGACTGATGACCTTTATTTAACTTTACAGTGGGAAGAAATCAGTGGTTTGGATGAGAACTACACCCCAATACGAACATACCAGGTGTGCCAGGTCATGGAGCCCAACCAAAACAACTGGCTGCGGACTAACTGGATTTCGAAAGGCAACGCACAAAGGATTTTTGTAGAATTGAAATTCACCCTGAGGGATTGTAACAGTCTTCCTGGAGTGTTGGGAACGTGCAAGGAAACCTTTAATTTGTACTATTACGAGACAGACTACGACACTGGCAGGAATATCAGAGAAAACCTCTATGTAAAGATAGACACCATTGCTGCCGATGAAAGTTTCACCCAAGGTGACCTTGGTGAGAGAAAGATGAAGCTTAACACTGAGGTGAGAGAGATTGGACCTTTGTCCAAAAAGGGATTCTATCTTGCCTTTCAGGATGTAGGGGCTTGCATAGCTTTGGTTTCGGTCAAGGTGTACTACAAGAAGTGCTGGTCCATTATTGAGAACTTAGCTATCTTTCCAGATACAGTGACTGGTTCAGAATTTTCCTCTTTAGTTGAGGTTCGAGGGACGTGTGTCAGCAGTGCAGAGGAAGAGGCGGAAAACTCCCCCAGGATGCACTGCAGTGCAGAAGGAGAATGGTTAGTGCCCATTGGAAAATGTATCTGCAAAGCAGGCTACCAGCAGAAGGGGGACACATGTGAACGTAAGTAATACGCACTATTCCAATTCTACTTTGCTTTTTTTTTTTTTTTTTCCTAGCTCAGCGACAACGTGGTTAAGTAATAATAATCATTTGACCATGTGGGTCTTTGCTACAGCCTGATTCAGTAGATCTTAGGAAAAGTAACTATTGAACTTACCAACGATTCCCCACTGTGGTGTCTGCACTGAGGGTATGTCATAAATACTGGCGATAACAATATCCGTTGCTAAAATTTAATTTACTGTATGCTTGACATAGAAGAAATGAACAGTTGCACATGGAGCTATGAGATTGGAGAGAGGAGAGGGAAGTGACATTAATCAGGATTTAATGATATGTGATTCCTTCTGTTTTGAATCCCCTACCTTTTGGACTTTTGAGTAGCAGAACAAAAGTAGGTTAAGGGGGCTGCTAACAAGAGTTCTACTGAGGGGGCAAGTACAAGTACATTTGCAAACTTTCAGAAATATTTTTATAAATACTAATAGTTTGATACAAAATCATCACAATTTATCGCACCGATAAATCTCTGAGGTTACTTCTGCCAAAGCCATATTTCTTTTCTGGACTACATAATAAATAAAATGAGTGTATTCCTGATTCACTGTGTTATAAGAGACCCCATTTTTGTGGAAGTGGGCCAAAGTAAATTTTAAGTTATCATAAAACATCAGCTGGATGTTTCCTATTTGTTTTTAAATAGCTACAGCCCATTTTATGTTTTTCTAAAGCTGGATTTTCAATTACATAACCTATGTGTTCATAAATAATTGACCAATTTTCTAAAATTGAAAACTGTCACATAGGCCTTCAAAATTGATAGATATTTTTCTGTTTGTGAATATCTTGACACTTTTTCCTTTTATGAGATTATATTACTTATATGTCTTTAACTTGTAACTTATAATACATTCTAAAAAATAACTTTTACATATTCTCTTAGTCCTAGCCAGCAGCATAATTTTAGTATTTGCAAATATTAGATAATTTAGAGGGGAGTATAACTAACCGTAATTATTACAGCTAAGTTTGGTGGTTACAGCCTGGGCATATTCTCTTCCATGTGCTTCACATGGACTAGCTCATTGAATGAGGTAGATACCATTATCACCCCTTTCTGTACAGAATGAAAAACTGGGGCTATCACGGATAAATGGCTTGCTTGCAGCTACTTCAGTAATGTTTATCTTCAAACTCAGAGCATTCTGATTCAAGAGCCTGGGCCTTTAACTATAGTAGTGCTTTAGTTTCCATCATAAAACAAGGGAAATCCTAGAAAATATTAGTTTCATTGCTGTACTGGAATGTCTTGCTAATAGTAATTTGGCATATACATCACATTAGTTCCCCGTAGAATTATCTTTCTAATAGAATATTATTTAAAGAAAGAAATATGAAATGTATAGATTTGTGTTATCCAGTTTGGTAGGCAGTAGTTCTTTAGATTTTGAAAAGTAGCTATTCATAATTGATATATGCTGTAAGTATAAATTACACTCTGGATCTCAAAGTCTTAGTAGAAAAAAAGAGAATGTAACATACATCATTAGTACTTTTTTAGATAAATCAAATAAAATATAGTAATATCAAAAATAATTTCAACTATTTCTTTTTACCCTTTTCCCCCACCTGAGGATATTTTTCCATATATTTTTAGAGAGAGTAGGAGAGAGAAGGAAAGACAGAGAAAAATATTGATGTGAGAAAAACACATCAATTGGTTGCCTATTGCGTACACCCTGGCAGGGCCAGGAACCTGCAACGGAGGTAAATGTCCTTGACCAGAATCGAACCCAGGACCCTTCGGTCCACAGGCTTTCTATTGAGCCGAACCGGCTACGGCTCTTAGTACTCTTTTAATGTGGCTCCTAGAAATTGAAAAACTATATATGTGGCTCACATTATATTTCCACTGAATGTATTATTTTGATGGAATAACTGAGCCAAGTATATTTTCCTGTCCTGGTTAACAAATTAGATACTTCATGTGGCTGGTCACTGGGATATAAAATACTTATATCCCAGCACTCAATTATCATCTTCTTCATAGCTGACACTGTGAGGTACACTCTGCAAAATACATTGAGATATTACTGGTTCAGGTCTCATAGTGAGAGAGCAGCCTTCTTCACACCTCCTGAAGGAGGCAAACGTGTCTACCCATTGTCTTCCCCTTTCTGTCACTGGCTGTATTTTCTGCAGAGTAGAAAATCCTGTAGGTTCCATGTATGTGGAAATAAAAAACTGAAGATTTGCCACTTACTGGTAGGCAGAATGCTATTATACTGGGTAAGTAAAGAAGTATTCTTAGTTAACTAACCAATTTAATGAAAGGCAATGTTCTTACTTATTGACTAGAGGCTAATAACAGTTATTCGAAAATGATGGTGAATTCAACAGTAACTACTATCAGAAAATTTTAAGAATATACTATTACATTTTAGCTATAAAAGCAGTGGTTTGGTAGTATGAAGATTTTCATGTGAAATTGGAATATAAAACTCTAGCACAATAAAAAGTGGGAAACATGAGAAACAAAGCAGGAATACATATAAAAGTGCACAATAAATTTTGTCTAAGAAAAGACTAGGACATAACATGAAAGGTCCTGCTCTTTTCATGTTTAAAGGTTTAAAAAATTACAGTATTTTTGTTTCATGTTGTGTAATTTAATTCATATGATTTTTACATTTAGTTAAGAAAAATAAGCAGGAACTTTTTGAGTGCTATACTTCTAAGAAAACCAGTCTTGAACTGCGGTAAAGAGATACATTAACCATGAAGAAAAGTCTCCAGTTTCTTCCAAATGAGCAAAATCATCTCACTAAATGTGGTAGTATTAGAATTATTCAGTCATTTATATTGGTTTCAAGAATTGGAAACTCATTTGAATACCAAAATTATTGTCACCTGCAAAATACACTAAGGTACTTAAAAACAAAATAAAATTACTCCGCTGTCATCTACATTAATTATGCATTAGGATAGGTGAAATTAGGTATTAATAGAAAGAGTTCATTAAAGAAAATGTGATTAAAGGAGCAAAGATGCCTCCTTATCATTCAACTGTGAAAGAGTATGTCTGCATTTTTGTAAGTCGAGTAAATTGTTCATCAAATAACTTTCCTTTTAACCTTGGCGGTATTGACAAAAGAATTACATGCCTTATACTTAACTGTGGCGCTATTTGCAAAATCACTTCCCTCCTTGGCATAACTCCTTGGCATCGCTGTGAGAGTACTTGCCCCTGGATTCAGTCCAGGCCTGTCTTTACAGGATTTCTCCTCTTTCCTTTCAGAGATCCTGCTCAGAGTTTGAAAACAAATTCTAGTTCCATATTGAGGAAAGCTGAAGTGTTCGGGAGAAGATCCTAGTGAGCCCCTAGCCAAATGAGGGTGGTTCGCCGCTAGGGGCAAGTGTATCTGGGCACTTTCTGGAGTGGCAGACGACTGGGATATTTTTAGAGTATAATTTAAAATATGGAAACTATAAAAACGGAGCACAATTTTGATCAGTGGATGTAAAAGTTTTTTTCTGTCAAAATTTGGGAGGAAAAAAAAAACCCTCCAATTTAAAAACCAAATATTTCTCATGTCTAATATATGGAGAACTTCTGTCTGTTTAATTAATATAATGCTTTTATGACGATACCTTTTGACAGTCATTTAAAAATATAAAATTTCAGCCAAAACCAGTTTGGCTCAGTGGATAGAGCGTCGGTCTTCGAACTGAAAGGTCCCAGGTTCGATTCCCGTCAAGGGCATGTACCTTGGTTGCAGGCACATCCCCAATTGGGGGTGTGCAAGAGGCAGCTGATCGATGATTCTCTCTCATCGATGTTTCTAACTCTCTATCCTTCTCTCTTCCTCTCTGTAAAAATTCAATAATATATATATATATATATATATATATTTAAAAAAAATATATATATATATATTAAAAAATATATATATATATATATATATATATAATTTCAGGTAGTTAACCTGCTTTTATTGTCAATAAATCCCTTAAAGAAATTACCATAGACTTTGTCACTTTTAGGAAACTAGCCCCTCCGTGTTCTTAGATAAAAAAGTGTAGTCATTGAAAAAAAGGAGAGCAGATTGTATTTTACATATGTAAATATTTTCAGAAGAGGGATAAAAATACTTTTGAAATATATTTTAAAATTTTTGGAACTTTTGTACAACTTGATTCCATTTAACATTTGAATATCATTTGTCAAAGTGTGTAGCTGGGCAGTGTACCTTGGATTTGAATAGGTAATTGCATTTGACACTGAACAATCATGTTCATTTTCTCATTTAATCCATAGCCTATCACTGGCAGGTAGAAAGTTTTTTGTGTTGGTTTTTTTTTTTTTTTTTTTTTCTTTTTGCCTTTGGACATATGAAGAAACTGAAACTCAGGGATATGGATAAGGAGCAATTTTGGATGAGAACCTGGGATCCTGTTTCCCAATTCAAGTCTTTTTCCCCACTGCACCGCACTGCTTTATAAAATGTATCCTCTACTTCAACTAATGGATTTTAATGAATAACTAATGAAACTTTATTTTAAGCAGGATGATCATTTGCCTAATTTGTCTAAGATAATTTTTTTACTTATTAACAGCGCTTCTTTTTGCTTTCAAAAGTGTTCTCATTTGGGTGATGAAATACAAGGTCATTCTAACTGTAAAAAATCTGAAGATGTAATGCAGTTTGCATGCACATATGTCAGAACACATCCATGTGATCTGCTTCTGTTATTTATATTGCTTAATTTGAATTTTCTGAATTAAAACAGAAATTTTTTTTATGATTTCATGTAAAGGGGGATTCAAATAATCATACACTTTTCACTTATATTATAAGAAATTTCCCTCACTATTGTTTTTTAATTCCTCTATTAATAAATTAACAGACCTGTCATTATTTAATAATATCTGATTTATGGATATACTACTCCATAAATTAAAATATTTATTCAGTGTTATAGCATTACTAATCAAGATT